TACATCCTGGTTCCACTGTCACAGGTTCTTCAGACTGCCCAGTACTAGTGCAACTCTCAGTCATGGCCATGGACACCTGTCCATGAAGGTACCCATAACTGGCTGAAATGTTGAGAATAAGTGACTTTAGAGTACCTGGTGTCAAGCAGAAGACCTTTGTCAACCCTCTGTGACCTGAGGAATATGGCAGAAGAGCTGGTAGAAGGACCATACATAGGAACCAAAGAGTAAGAAGAGTGCCAGATAACACTGTCTCCTGGATATGACATGACCATTGCAGTTATGAACAAACAAGGGCTTTGGCTGCTTTCACAGGGCCTGAAGAAGAAGGAAGGAAAGGAAGAATGTGGGAGAGGATACACATGAATGTATGAAAGGAAGACAGTGAGAGTAGAGGAGACAGGAGAGGTGGAGGGGCCAGTTAAGAAGAATGGCTTAGTGAGAAGGGAATGGAAGATGTTAATGGGAGATAACTGTAAGTACAGTGCATTGTGTATTCATGTGATATTGACAAAAACAGGAAAAAAAACCTAACTTGCTCAAACCTTTCCATGTATAATATTCAGACAAACTCGCATATCACCAGCAGGTCCCACACACTCAATATTTATTTCTCTTCAATTATTGTGTGTTTTTTGTGCCAAACATTATACTCATCCAGAACCTGCAGGCTTGGCTCAATTATAGATTCCCCACTATAATGTGAGGTAAAATAAAATATTAAATTTTATATTCTTTTCTATGTTTATATTTTTAAAAAGAGAATATTTACTCTAGTGTTCTTGAAGAGTATAGAGACTCTGAGTTCCAACAAGCTGCACAGTTTGGGCTTTGTATTCCCACATTGGCACCGAAACATAGAATATAGAAATGTTAATGACATTTTATCCTTTATTTGTATTACTTAAATATGTTACAGAAAAGCATATATATGCTTGCTTTTCTTTGGATTTTGCATATAATGTTATCATAATTTCAGTAAGGTATTATCAGTGATGTACTATAATATCCTCACTATTCAATTTGTGAGTAAGTTCTCAGGGTGCCACCTCTGTTTCAGGTAAGCAAGCTTATGGTACCTTAGTTTGTTGGGTAGACATCACTCCCTCCCCTACCTTCAAATAAAAGCCTTGATTAATCAACCGTTTCTCCTCAGGATGAAAACATTTTCACATAAACCAGAAAAACCAACCCACATATGGACTGATCCTCATGCTTTATACTTGACATGTGGAAATCAGATCTTATATCTTCTTTCCATGACTTCTCCTTGGCCATTTACCTAGTTCTGGTTGGTTATACCATCTTTAATTTGGGATTGTATCTATGTGTGGTGTAACGAGTATGGGTTTTTCCACCTGCCGCCTGTCTTGTCCTGCTGCCGCGCCAGCCCCAAATAATGCACAGAGACTCTGTATTTGATATAATGCTGTTGGCCCATTATTTGTTTCTTATAGGCTAGCTCTGTCTTAAGTATTAATCCATTTCTATGTATTTCTACGTGGTCTCCTTACCAGGGAGTGAGGCAGGTGTCTGGTTTCCCTCGTCTCTCCATGCTGACTCCTTCTTACTACTTTCTATTTCCTCCTTGTCTCCTAGTCCCTCCTATCTTCCTTTCCTATTGGCCAACAGTGCTTTATTCATTTACCAGTATGAGAAACATATTTACAGAATGACATCTCCCATCAAGGAACACTACTTGAAACACCTTCACTCAAATGCACTTGCTTTATTTTTATGGTGCACACAAAAGTTTTTGCTTTTATAGAAACATGAGAGTTAAATATTGAAAACAAATCATTTTAAGCTTCTTATCGTTATTCTGCAGCATGTATTGAATACCTATACATTTGGATTGTATTGTATTTGTATATTTGACCTTAAAACTTGCTGTTTGAAGGAAGTTTTGTGATATACAGCAGAAAATAAAATGCCTACATTGCAAGCATGAGAACCTGAGGTCATATCCCCACAGCCCACATAAAAAAGTTGCATGGGTGGCATGTGCCTGTAATCCTAATATTGGATAGACAGAGCATTGAAAATAACTGGGGCTTCCAGGCCAATCAGCCTTGCCCAATCAGTTAGCTCCATGCTCAGTGAGAGCATGTATCCAAAAATGAGGCAGAGCAGTAGAAGATAGCCATATATTCTCACACACAAACATTCATAACACAGACACAGACACATGCACATGCACTCACACACACACACATGCATGCATTCACACACACCACGGTGTTTGATGTGGTAGAATTTTTGCCCAAGGTCCTGGGTTCAATCCCTAGTGTTGGGATGTCATTCTGTAAATATGTTTCTCTTATTGGTTGGTGAATAAGGCCCTGTTGGCCAATAGGAAAGCAAGATAGGCAGGACTAGGAGAAAAGGAGGATTCTGAGAGATGTAGTAGAGAGGAGTCAAGACGTAGGTCATGAGAAAAATAAGAGGTCCTCTCTCTCTCTCTCTCTCTCTCTCTCTCTCTCCACTAAAGCCAAGTGGAAACACTTAGATTGATAGAAATGAATTAATAGCTAAGGCAGAGCTAGCCAATAAGAAGCTCTAGCCATTGCCCAAGAGCTTTATAACTAATAAAGTCTCTGTGTATTATTTTGGGGCTGATTGACCTTGGGACCAGGCTGGCAAAAAAACTGCTCATAATACCTAAATTATATATGTGTAAACAGACTTATGTATGCTATATGTAACTTTAGGTTTGTAGATAATAATATGATGGCTTAATGACTTTTTCAGACATTTTTACTGTTAGTGTGTTTTTTTTTTTAAGGCTATGAAATAGTAGGGGTTAAGTTTTTGAATGAAATACATCTTTTATGTTAGTCTTAGTAATTTTTCTTTATAAGTTTTTGGCCAAATGTTGTTTCTTTATAGCAGAGCTCAACACTCACTGGATTCTCAGACTTGCCTAAAGGTTGCTTCCCATCTCAATAGTCTGACTTTCCTACCTCTGTGGGATTCATTTGTAATTCTGAATTTATTCCAACCATCTGGTTACTTCAGTACCCACCTTCTGTGCCTTTAAGTTGCCTTCAAGATAAATCAGTAGTTTTTGACTAGTATAAGCTCAATTCAAAGACATGTCATAGACATGTCAAAGACATGGCCCTCACCTTCCTTTATGTTCATAACCTGGTGACAAATTATGTGCTTCCCCTGCTGTCACATGCATGCTCTTTACCAGCCATATCCACTTTTCACTGTTCTAACTCTTACTACTATATAATGGGTTATTTCAGATCTAGATAGTAGAAGTAAATATATGTTGTATTCACTAAGTCTGTGGAATGGGAATTTGGCCAGGACATAATGGAGTGATTGTCTTTATTTTATGGTGTCTAGGACCACAGCCATATGACTGAACTCTTTGAAGCTAGAGTCATCTGAAGCTTCTTTAGTCACAGATATAGGGACTTGCCCTGATTGTTGGTTTGGTGCCTCTGTTCATCTTCTTGTATATTCTCCATGGATGCCTGCCTCTTTTGTGACCATTACATAGGTGATTTGGTGCTTCCCCCTGCCACATTAACTGATTTCTCAATGACCCTTTTTTATAACCAAGAAATCATACAATATTGTTCCCAGAGCTCCTGATCATATTGGGAGCGGTGGGGGGGGGGGCAGTGAGTGGAGATGGAGTTAGGAGATAGAAGAAGGGAAGAGAGGAGAACATGTGGGATCAGGAAGATTTAGTCATGGGATGAATAGATGAGAACGAAAAAAAAAAAAAAAAAAAAGGAGATACCATAATAAAGGGAGCCATTATATGTTTGAAGAGAAAACTGACTCTAGAGACATGTCCAGAGACCTACAAGGATGACCACAACTAACAATCTGAGCAATAGTGGAAAGGCTACCTTAAATGTCCTTCCCTGATAATGAGATTGATGACTAACTTATATGCCATCATAGAGCCCTCATCTAGTAGCTGATGGAAACAAAAGCAGACACCCACAGCTAAACACTGAGCTGAACTCCTGGAATCCAGTTGCAGAGAGGGAGGATTTATAAGGAAATGGGGTCAAGACCAGGCTACAGAAACCCACAGAGACAGTTGACCTGAACAAGGGGGAGCTAATGGACCCCCAGACTGATAGCTGGGAAACCATCATTTGACTGATTCAGATACCCCTGAACATGGGTCTCAATTAGAAGGCCTTGGCAGTGGAACCAGGATGTATCCCTGGTGCACCAAAGGACACTGGGAGCACATTCCCCATGGAGGGAGACTCCCTTAGGCTAAAGCTAGAAGGGAGGGCCTAGTTCCTACTCCAAATGACTTGACAGATTTTGATGTTCCCTCCTAGAAGGCATCACCCTCTCTGTAGAGTGTGTGTGGGGGGGATGGAATGGGAAGGGGGTTGGGGGGCATGGGAGGGAGCAAGGGAAAGGGAACTGGGATGAATATGTAAAATAAGAAAAAATATTAAATATGTGCAAAAAATTGTTCTCACTATAAAATATTACTTCCAACTTCAAGGGGGATGGATAATTATAATCTATGTCTCCATCAACAAGAAGAATTTGGAAAGGTGTCAGAGACCAGAAATAGCATCATGACTGATTTGAAACAAACAAAAACTATAATATATCCCATTCAAGCTCTTAGTCCACTATTATAGTCCACTATCATAAATGCACTATAACAAGGCATGACCTTCCTAATTCACATAGTAGTATCTGTCTAAGTGGGTGACTAAAGAAGACCATGATTCTGCCATTTTCTCTAACCAGTATTTATTTTCTTTCAGTCATTTCATAATACAAGAATCAGATACTCATGACAGTTTGGAGAATTTGAACAGCAAAACACTATGAATTTGCTATGACAAATAATAGTGAGAACTACTTTTCTTCTATGTGAATAGCTCATTTCAGATATTAATTTATGGAATGTTTTATATGTAGCTATAATTCACTCAGAAGGTTAATAATTTTACACATTATTCAGTTCCATACTTACATGTAACTATTATGTATTTAAGATGGCTGATCACACTGAAGTGATGAGAGGCATCCACAAGTATCCAGGGGTTCGCTATCCTGTCCTTATACCTAATCTTCAGGGTTTCCACCATGCTGTAAGTGTGCTACTGTTTCCTCTAAATTTGCCTTTATAGTTTTGAAGACCTATAAAATTATAATGCTGTCATGTTTAATTCATAACTCTGCTGATAGCATAAACACATAGAGATCAGTATTATCTATGGCATTGTTAGAACCTAACATATTCCCTATATTGCTCTTTCGGTGTAACCATTCAAGAATTTAACAATAAAAATGTAATTCTCTATTTTGGATGAAAATTTGAAAGTATATTTTGTGCTTTCTTATTAAGAAGCTAATATAGGATATATCTTAAACAATTATTGATGAAGCATTATAATTGTTAATAGTCTTGGGGCCAGCCTTTTAATTCTATGGATTCTTCTAGCCTAAAACCAATCATTATCATTGTATCTGCTTCTGTTGACTTTATCCCTCTTCTGCTCTATTGTGATCTGTGTGCTTTAGGAATTTATGTGATTTATATAAGAGTTTTAATGACTATACAAAACTAACCACATTACTTTTACATAAAAATTACTATATTATCTTTACATATGATTGATTCAAAGATGTTACAGAATATATCCCTTAATGCAGTGAGTATTTTAAGCTCTCCATTTGATACTATGATGCATGACGTTGAGGTTATATGAGTCTATTTAGTAGATTACTTTTGTGTATATGCTATTAGAAACATTTATCTTTGATTTGATATAATTTAAGGCATTATAAAATTAAAGAATGTTTCTGTTATCAAGTTTTCAAAAGAAGAGAAGGTCTTCATCTTAGAGAAAATACTTATGGTACATCCTAAGTCATTTAACAGAGTAAGTGTTAGCTTGCAAGTTGTGGGTTTATAATCTGAGAATGGTTTAGTAGCTTACTAACTACCTGAGATTGGCAGACAAACAACTCTGTGTCACATTTGTAAGATGAGCCCAATAATATTTACATGGGTTTTTAGACTACAAAAGATGCAGGCAAAGTTTCAACATTACTGGCATAGAGTGGACATTTAATGAAATAGAAATTTTATTTTAGAAGTTCAAAATTCACATTAAATGATGAAACAAAAACAAGTGTCTTCTAAATGTTGGAAAAAAGATAAAACTGTTTTTCTTCTTAATGTATTAACAGACAGTCAGAGGTGAGGGCATGTGAATCCTAGTCAGATAGTAAGTGAGAAATTAACGGAATATCTCACAGATGCATGTGAGAAATCTGGGAGGCATGACTTTTGAAAATGTTACTACAGACACAGTGTGTAGTATGATTGTATAAATACAACAAAGAGGTAAAGGGACAGACAGAGCTGATTCAAGTGTTTTGAAGTTAAAGATTAGTAATTGAACATGTACCTTAGTCATACAAGCACATGGCTTTGTTAGTCAGGATATAAAACAATGGAGGCTAGTTAAGAGCTACAGTGAAATTGGGAGGCAAAATCTAAATGATGAATTGGGGAAACATCTTTTGTTAGCAAGACATTCTTTGTTGGATTATAGGAAGAAAGGAAAAACAGAAGTAGTTTGTGTTGCTGTCTTACAACAATTGGTTTCAAAATAATATTCTTCTGAAAACATGCAGGCTTTAGTGGGGTATACATTTTCCCCCATAGTTATGGTAAAGTGTTTTGAGAATAGCCATGATGAAAGACAGGATTAACTGGTTCATCATCCCTGTATTTTATGTGTCTCATAATTTCAATACTATTGTAGTTTATAGAATTTTCTTGTAACTATAAAACAGTTTTCCATTTAAAATCAGTGTAAGTGTCAAAAAAAAAATAGAGGCATCTGGCTTTCAATCTTAAGGCAATGTGAGAACATAGGTATGCTGTTAGAGTTCAGTCCCCACCTATCATTCACAAGACTTTCAAACTTGGTAGTGCTGGGCTATATACTGTGTCTTTCAGGTTGCTGCTGGAGCCACTGAGATAGCAGTTTTTGGTGCTGCTTCTGAATCTTTCATCAAGAAGAATATTAACTGTTCCATTGAAGAAAGTATGAGAAGGTTTGAGGAGGTTATCAGCTCCGCAAGGCACATGGACATCCCAGTACGAGGGTACTCATGAAACCCAACTCAATTCCATTATATCTATTTTTAGAGTTCACTTATATACTACCTTGATATTTTTTTAAACCATTCACTAATATGCATATTTAATAGTATATGAACCATACTTATTTATAGGAATCACTGTGTAATTATATCTCATAACAACTACCATGCTTTTAGCCTGTGGAATGTGGAATCTGATTAATATCAAGGGAGCTGGGTGTGAATCTGACATTAATATTCAGCAATCTAGACATAGTTATGTGTTGTATAGACTCACATGTGTCAGTAAATTACAGCTGTTTCTGTAAATGCAGGTGTACCTCAGATCCTTATGCTTTGGCTCTTTATGTAGAAATTACATTGCTTTGGATAAACATTGCAGGCTTTCATTACAAGAAAAATCCCATTAAGAGCAACAGTGGAGGAAAAACTGTCATAGATCAAAAACCCAATTTTCTCTTTTAGGATTTTGCATGGTTGCCTTGAATTGAAATATCATGTAATGCCATTTTTGAATTCACTGTCCTGGGGTTCTTGCAATAGAGCCGTGTACAAACCATTAGAAAACAGCATAGTGGAAAACAGAGCCAGGAAGATAAGGGGGCCATCAGCATGATTGAACCAAAGGAAGCGGAAAATCTGCATTTGTTTTTGCCTGCTTTCAAGGTCAGCAACTGCAGCATAGATTTGGAATTGTTCATATACATGGCAAAACATGCAATAAATTATTTGTTTTTGAAGAAAGGCAATAGGTTGTTTTCTAATAATTATATAAATATTCAGATATGATGAGCATACAATTTATGCTGGGAATGGATTTAACTCTACCTTTGGAGTCTTTTAGTTTAGCTAAGCAAAGTCCATTGAGGTATTATAATTCAGCAATTAATAAGAGAAGAGGGTTGGCTTAATGAAACCCAGAACTTCAAATTTAAAAATAATAATAAAGTGTGTCCCAGTTAGGGTTTCCTATTGCTGCAATGAAACACCATGACTAAAAAGCAAGTTGGGGAGGAAAGGGTTTGTTTGGCTCACACTTCCAGATCATAGCCCATCATTGGAGGAAGTCAGAACAGGAACTCAAAGCAGAGCTGGAACCTGGAGGCAGAAGCCGATGCAGAAGCCATGGAGGGAAGCTGTTTACTGGCTTGCTCAACCTGATTTCTTATAGCACCTAACTACCAGTCCAGGGGTGGTGCCACCCACAGTGGGCTTGGCCCTCCCCCATTGATCACTAATTGGAAAAAAAAAAAGTCTTGCAGCTGGAGGCATTTCCTCAGCTGAGGATTCTTCCTCTCTGATGACTGTAGTTGTGCCAAGCTGACACATGAAGCCAGGCAGTGGAATGTTAAAGACAATTGGTTTTGAGGGAGGACATTATGAAGATTGGAATTAGGCCATGTTTTCTATTGAAATTTATCTTCCCAATTCTCTGCCATAAAGTTTTGGGTTTTTTGGTTTTTCTTTGTTTTGTTTTGTTTTTATGTTTTTTTTTTTTTTTGTATCTAACTATCTTTGTAGCTTAATAGATAATTTTTATCTAAGAACTTGTAAAAAATTTTAAAGCCAAGATAATACACACCACTCATCATAAAGGAATGTTTTTATTTTAAGGCTGAATTATGTAACCACAATAAAAAGGAGAGATGTTCTATAAGCCTTCACATTTAAATATCACTAAGTTGTTTTGCTTTTTTTTTTTAACCTTTAAAAGAAAGAGCATATTAATACCTTTGTCTATTTCAAAATGTGAAGACTATTTAGAGGAAAATTTTTTTCATTGGAAAGTCAAGAAAACCCATGATAAAACCTTAAAACTGTATCAGTAGCCTACTGTGGATAGCCTATTGTAGAGTTGTCATGTACACAAATACAGGTTCCAAGAACACTTTTTTTTGACTCAGTTTGAAGGTTATTTCTAGATTTTCCAGAGAACTATTTATTTTTAGAAATATAACTTTCAGCATGTGTGATCCTTAATTGTTTCAGTACTTTATTTTCTTTCCTAACTGCATTGAATTTAAATGCTTATATTTTTGTTTTATGTTTGTAATTTATTCATTCTTTGAGAATTTTATATATATATATATACATATATACACACATATATATGGGTATATATGGGTATATATGTGTGTGTATGTATACACATATATGTATATACCCACACAAAATGCATTTTGATCATATTTAATCACCACTTTTTCCAAATCCTCTTACCTCTTCCACACTTCTTCATGTCTCTCCCAACTTCATGTATTCTTTTTATATCACACTGTTTTATGTCCTTATAAATTATATTATAACATAAAAAGTCTAGAGGCTCCAATTTTGAAAGCCTACACCATGAAAGGTCTGTATACAGCCAGTGTGATATGGGCTGCCATTTTACCTCTGATGTCTGAGGTATGTGAGGCTTGTGTATATTTACCCCCTTTTAAATAGGAGCCTAAGTTATTTATCTCTTCTTAAAAGATTACAAAATGGCAAGAATATATATCTGTGAACAGTGTTTGTGACATTTCTTCTTAACTTCAAAAAAAACTGAAAATGAAATTATGAGACTAAGGAATAAGGCAAATTGTGAGTTAAATAATATTTTAAAACCAATAGAGTTCTTTGAGGTACATAAAACGAAGACAATTCATGAGATGTAGCATTTTATTCTAGTAATAATTTGTTCATACAATGTGCCTAATATATACTACTAATTAGAAGGAGGTGAGGCATCAGATTTTCCTCCAGTCTCAATCAGTTCAGTCCTTATTTACCTTTTTACCTATTAACCAAAACCAATCTAAACGAAGGGAAAGACGCTCACTGTGAAGAAGTTCCTCCACTGTACAACATTTTTCAATTGGCTGCTCAGTTCCATTGAGCTTCCAAACTTTAGGGCAGCAGCCTTCCCAACTGCCAAAAAGGAAGAACAGTCTCCCCCAACTTTCACTTCAAGGAATGATTTATACACAACACATTTACTCAAAATGTGCAGCTTTCAACCTGAATTAGCCAAACCATCTATCTAAACCATGTTGCACAGTTTGTGTGTACTGCCCTTCTTGCTGCTTGAGGCCAGATGCCACATGGATTATGATCCTGACCTTGAGGGTGAAGGGAACCTTATCTGAAGGGATAATGAGTCTCTGTATTCAGAGGTCTGCTTTTAGGTGAGCAGTGAGTAGCTTCTGAATGACTATCAAAAGGCATCCACTGGACATCTTCCTCCGAGGAACTCACTTATGGAACACAAGCTAGTTATAACTACCACCCCTAAAACGGCCTAGGTTTCGGCCTGCAAGAAAACATGAAATAATTGATTTATGAAATATGGTACATAAAACTAAAACTCAGACATCTGCTTCAGCATATTTTTCTATGTAGAGTATTTACTTGAAGGTTTATATTTCTTCTAAGTGTATGTAACCTAACATGAGTGTACAACAGGAGGCTGACACTATATGATGCTCAGTTTGTCTAGTAGACTGATTTTTCTTCTTCTTCTTCTTCTTCTTCTTCTTCTTCTTCTTCTTCTTCTTCTTCTTCTTCTTCTTCTTCTTCTTCTTCTTCTTCTTCTTCTATTTCTCCTCCTCCCCCTTCCCCTTATCATTCCCTTTCTCCACCTTCTTCTTCATCTTCTTTTCTAGTTCTCCTCCTCCCCTTTCCCCTTGTCATTCCCCTTCTCCTCCTTCTCCTACTTCATCTTCTTTCCTTCTTCTCCTCCTCCTCTTCCTCCTCCAACCCCTCCTCCTGCCTCCTCCTCCTCCTTCTTCCCCTTTTCTTCTTCGTCCCCTTCCCCTTCTCCTTTTTCTCCTTCCTTCTCCTTCTCCTCCTCCTTCTTGTAGTTTGGTTTTTGGATACAGGGGTCTTGCTATGTAGCTCTGTCTGTCCTAAATTGCCCATACTAACCTCAAACTTGTGGCATTCCTCTTAGTACTTGCCCCCTGGGATTATAGCAATTTGCTACCATTCTTTGTTTTCTTTTTCCCACCTTCTATTGAAAATAATTATTTTCTCCAATGATATATCAGATATAGACACAGAGACCTCGGTGTGGGGGGGTGGCGTAGCATTGATGGAGACATTCTTTTTTAGGGCCAAGTGCTCCAAGGTCTCTCAATCTCTGCATATTGTCTGGCTGTTGGATCTCTGTATTTTTCCCATTTGCTGCATGAGAATTGCTTCTCTGATGATGGCTGAACAAGGCACTGACCTATGAGTATAGCAGAATTTCATTAGGACTCATTTTATTGCTATATTCTTTAAGTAGAACAGTAGCATTTGGTTTTATCCCAGGTCTCTGGGCTATTTAGTCTCAGGTTCTTTCTCACCCAAGCAGTGTCAGGTATGGGTTCAATCTTGTGTATTGGGCCTTACATCAAATAAGATATTGTTTGGTTACTCCCACAAGCTTGTGCTATCATTTGCATTAAAATGTCTTGCAGGCAGGTCACTATTGCAGATCAACGACTTTGTAGCTGGGTTGGTGTTTATGTTTCTCCTTTGATAGCATGCAGAAAACCTTCCTTTGCCAAAGATGGTAGCAATAGGGGTGGAGGTTCTTTATAGGTACCAGCTCAAATTATCCATGTTCCTGTTATTTGGTGATTTCATTTAGATCTCTCTCTTTCTTTCTCTCCCTCTCTCTCTCTCTCACACACACACTCTCTCTCTCACACACACCCCCCACACACACCACACACCACACACACACACGAAGCTTCTACTGTACTAGGTTTCCATACTACCCCCGAAATGACCCTTAATTTTAGCTCTCTCCCTGTATTCCCTCCCTTGTTTCCCTCCTCTCTCTCCACCCCACTTCAACCTTCTGTCCAAGCTCCCTCTCTGAATCTGTCTATAACTATCTATTCTATTTTCCTTTCTTAGGGATAGCTATGTATCTTTCCCTAGTCCCTTACTCTGTACCTAACCTCTGTGGCTCTACAGATTGTATATTGGTTATCATTGACGAACAACCACATATACATGAATACATACTGTGTCTCTTCACTCAGGATTATTTTTTTTCTATTTCCATCTATTTACCTTCAAATTTCATGTTTTAATGGCTGAGTAACTCCATCATGTAAATATACCACATTTTCTTTATCCAATCTGTTCATTTAGATTATTTTCTATTTCTGCTATTATTAATTGAGCCACAATTTACATATTTGGGCAAAGGACTTAGTAATAGGATGAAGCATCCTTGGGTATATGTTCAAGAGTTGTATAGCTGGATCTTGAGGTAAATTGATTCTCAGCTTCCTGAGGAATTGCCACACTGATTTCCGTAGTGGCATTCCCACCAGGACTGGATGAGTGTTTCCTTGCTCCACAGCTCCACCAGCATGAGCTGCTATTTGTTTTGAGTGGTTTTAATTAAGAACCCCACAGAAGAGGAGGAGGTTATACTGAAGGAGTTAGAGGGGATGGAGAATATGGCCTACTGAATCAAAGACACAGGATTCCTAAGGGCACACAGAAACTGGAGCAGCAAGGAAGGGGCCTGCATTGGTCTGCACCATGTCCTCTGGGTATATATTATGGTTGTTAGCTTGGTATTTTTGTGGGACTCCTAATACTGAAAGAGGTTATGTATGTGACTCTCTGGTCTGCTTTTGGGACTCTTTTCCTCCTATTGTGTTACTTTGTCCAGCACTGATATGGGGACCTTTGCCTTGTCTTATTATATTTTGCTTTGTTGTGTTTGGCTATTGTCTCTTGGAGGCCTGTTCTTTTCTGAAAAGGAAAGGAGGATGAGTGGATACAGGGGAGTGGGGAGGTGTTGGGGGTGGGTGGAGAGAGTAGAGAGAAGAGAAACTGAGGTGGGTATATACAATATGAGAGAAGAATCTAATTCAATAAAATATAAAACTTCAAAATAGTTTTGATTTGTGCTTCCCTGATGGCTAAGGATGTTGAACATTTCTTTAAGTGTTTGCCAGCCATTTTAGAATTCTCTGTTTAGATCTGTAATGCCATTTTTAAATTAGGTTGTTTCCTTGATGTCTATTTCTAAAAAAAATATATTTTGGATATTAGCCCTCTACCAATGTGTAGTTGGTAAAAATCTTTCTCTATTATATAGACTTCCATTTTGTCTGAATGATAGTGCAGAAGCTCTTCAATTTCGAGATCCCATTTATTAATTGTTGATCTTAGTGTCTGTGTTAACAATGTTCTGTTCAGAAAGACTTTTTTGTGCTAATAAGGTCATGACTATCTCCACTTTCTCTTCTATCGGTTCAGTGTATTTGGTTTTTTTTTTTTAAATAACCAAGTCCATTTAAATGAAAACAAACATTTATAGACAATATTTGGGAATTTGGGCATAGTTCTTTCCAAACTACTTCCTGCTGGTAAGGGGCGCTCTCATGGGGGATTCGAAGAAGATGCAGAAATTCTGGCTGTAGTCTGTAAGGCTGCTTTGTCCAGCTGTTTTGAATGTAGGATCACCTGGTACTCTGTTTCAGGTGGTCTGGCTTGATAAAACCACATTAGTCTGGAAGGAATCCACAGCTTTTCATTTTCTGTGGAAACAAAAATAGAAATCCTTTTCCTCAGTAACTTGTCCTTGAACTTAAATTTTGGAGTCAAAGCATTTTTTTTTTTTAATTTATTATTTTACAGGTCGATCCCAGTTCCCCCTCCTTCCCTCCCTGCCTCCCTCCCTTTTACCCTCTCTGCCCTCTCACATGCACCCTAACCACCCTCCCCTTCAATTCCCCCACCCCAATTCCATATGTAGGGCAATGCCATCCAGTTGGGGTCATGTATATCTGACAGGTCATGTGAAGTAGGGACAAGGGCTTCTCTTCTGTCTCTAGGTTAAGGCAATTATCCCTCCATGGGGGATGTGTTCCCAAGGTCCTTTTGTGCACCAGGGATACAGCCTGGCTCCACTGTCTGAGGTCCCTTAGACTGCCAGTCCTTCTGGCTGAGACCCATATTCAGGGGGGCCTGAGTCAGTCCCATGCTGATGTCCCAGCTATCAGTCTGGGGGGGGGCGTTAGCTCCTCCTTGTTCAGGTAAGCTGTCTCTTTGTGTTTCTGCAGCCTGGTCTTGTCCTCTCCATCTGCATCTGGGTTCTAGTTCGATTCATTGTTTATGTATGGGTGTTTGCTCCTGTTTCCAACAGATATTAGATGAGGGCTCCATGGATAAGTTAGTTGTTGATCTCAGTGTATTTGGTTCTATGCTAAATTCTTCAATAGAACTTTTGAGAAAAGGGATTATTAGCACAGTTTGGCTTATGAGCCTTTGTGTGCCAACCTTTCTTTAAGAATCTTAAAGCCAAATAAAGACAAAGTTTGAGGAATATTGTATTAGTTTTGTAGTGAGTAACTCCATGTATAAGTAAGTCAAAGAAGACACAAAATTGAGGAAGATTCTATGAAAATAAAGTTCACTGGAAGCCAAGATAGGAAAATCTGTACTTTGGAAAGTTATTAGTAAGAAGTGAGTGAAAATACCCATACAGAGAGTTAGACCTTAGGACCAAGCTGATAGGTAGTCATGGCCTAGCAACAAGCTGAATAAAGCATGGGATGCTTGTTTTGAACAATTTGAATTTACTGTTGAGTATTGGCATGCTTTTTCCAAATTATGAGCCATTCCATGGTGCAACATACATTAAATTTCAGCACTTGGATGCATGCAGATCTCTGAGTTCAAGGGCAGTCTGATCTATAGATCAAGTTACAGGATAGCCAAAGCTACCCAGAGAAACCTTGTCTCAAAAAAAAGTAAAATTGTAACTGGAATTTTAGATATTATATTTAGTCGCATCTCAGTGTTTGGGACAGAACAAATGCACATTACTAGAATCATAGTATTTGGATTGGAATTTCTCCTCTTTTATACAACTTTATATAGTGCTATGTATGTCACTTCTCATGTATCTTGGTAGGTCACATTTTAACAAATTATCTAAAATGTTGAATAAAATATATATAAGAACTGGAGGAACAAACTACTTTCCCAATAAATTTGAATTCTCCTTCCTTGTCTTTTGAACTGTGAGATGGGATTGTTATTTTGCATTTTATTCCTCAAATGTCAATTTTATCTATATTGATAACTCCAAGTTAAGTTACATCTGATAATCAGTGTGTAATAGACCAATTATTGTGCATCTGAGTCTATTAGAAATTTTATTCTGAATCTTCTAATGAATCACAGCTTAAATTCAATGAATATGCTAATATGTTCTCCTCTTGCTCCTACCTTCCCTCTGACAGCCACTTTATGAAAACTAGATTTCAATGAAACAAATTTCACTTTTCAGGATCTTACCTAAATGTTCAGAGTACCTCAGAATAGATTTGAATCATCTCCAAGTCTAGCCTCCTTGGTAAACATAGCATTGCTATCTACAATCTTTCTTTTCCTAGACCAAGAACTGTATCTCCAACTTCGTTCCTGCCACCCCTGTCCCTATGTGGCATTTTTCATTCCTAGCCACCGGACATAAAATGCATTATTTTAGCAGTGCATTAGAAAAGTGTCTGAGGATGGTTCAGTAAAGTGGGGTTGGAGATCAGCTGAGAATAGTTAAAGTAGACTTGTTGTCAAGATTGATAATGTGGAAAGGGATCACCATCTTTAAGTGGAAATGAATTGTTGAGGAAGCTTCCAGAATAACTTTGTTCAGAGCCTTTTAACACATTAGACACTATTCTACATGGAACAAGTTAGATAAACTCATGTGAGAAATAAGATAAATTCTGAGGTGGTAAACACTTCCTGGAGTTGGAAATGAATAATGGCTGTATCTTATTTGGTGTCAAAAACATCCAGATAGATGTATGGAGAGAAAATTCATTTATACATGGGTAATTAAATATTGAATTTATAACCATCTAAATAAAACTATATTTCATTGGTGTTTCCTGCTTTTATTTATATCATGATATAGTATAATGGTTCTAAACTTCCCCAATGCTGTGACCGTTTAATAAAAAAAATCCTTATGTTGTGATGATATCCAATAACAAAATTATTTTTGTTGCTACTGTTATGAATTGTAATGTAAATATATGATATACTAGGTGGTTTTAGGAGACCTCTGTGAAGGGGTTATTCAATCACCAAGAGGTCAAGACCACAGGTCAAGAACCACTGCTATAGTGTAAACTGGCTATTATGATCTGTAGTCATTGTCATCATCAAGTGACATTATCAAATTGTAATTGTCTGATAGAGTAAAGTTTGACTTGCCTCTAAATTCTCCTAAACAATTTTGTTTCATTGGAGAATAAAGTAAAGGTTGGAAAATAATTTTGCTGATGTATTTTAAATTGGGAAATCTGGAGATGATGGACAGATCACATGGCTCTGTATTTTTCAATACAGATATGTGTCCTGTGCCCTGGGCTGTCCATACGAAGGAAGCATCATGCCACAAAAAGTCGCAGAAGTAAGAAACATCTCCAGCCTTTGTGGTTACTGTTAAAACGATGAGTATTATTGGTCAATTTTAGACAGTTTTCTTAATTGTTTATTGAATATCAGTAGCAGAGGCTAAAAAGAAGCCCGGCTGGGAACTTATCACTGAAGCTGTGTTTTGTCACTTAGCTAGTCATTTCATTTTAACATAGATCCATTGACTATAACTTTCCAAAGGTGGGTGATAATTGAGTCATATTTTGGATGCTTTAACCACAGAAAGAGAAAAAGCTGTCTTGCTTGTGCATTACCTTAGCCAAAGAAATGCTTTCCCACTTCCATCACAATGTCAGACAGCTGTGCACATGTATGTAGTCAGCTCTCTCTTCTCCATGCTTACATCAGAGCATGTGCTACAGTGCTTCGGTTCACATGTGATATTCATTACTGTGCTGTGTCAATAGATTGCATTCATTAAGAATCTGCATATAGGATTATTAAATCTGCTTATTATATGCTAACTCTTTCTTTACCATTAATTCATACTAATGAATACCAAATACTCTACTTTGGGAACTAGTTTAGAAACTTATTTGCATATGAAGTATATTAATGTAAACTTTTGTTGACTGTGAATTTTCATAAAGTTTGTGATACAATACTGGAAGAGTAAATGTGACATCATTAGTAAACCCCAGATTATGTGGATTAAACTCTTAGTCCATCTGAAGTAATTCCTTCCTTTTTCACTCACTTGAACTATGAAGATAATTGAAGATATTTCAAATGAATACTATCTCATTATCTTGTCTTTTAAAGGTCCTTGATCATAGAGGCAAGTATACTAGTGAATGATGAAGCTGAGGCTTTTTATCACTCTCCTTTCTTCTAAGACTGTGCTATCAATATGCACAGACCATTATATATTGTATTTCTTTTTAAAGAATATTCCCAGAAGGCTTGACTTCAGGTCTCACAAAACTTATGTAAACTTTTTGGGGACACTAGACTGTTTGTCCCCCTCTTGTACTGTTCTAGCATGGAAGAGTTGCATAGTCATTTTTTTCACCACAACTGGGGTGCTGCTGAAGCCTTGAAGACAGATTAGAAGTATTAAAAATTCATGATCAGCAACTATGCTGCAGAGGCCTTTGTGCTAGCCTAATACATTTTGTGAATTTATTCTTTTCTTTCTGAAACGACTACTTGAAAGTTGATTACTTTTGCAGACTCTCCCCCTTCTTCACACTCAATACCCCTGTTCTTTGCTTGCTCATGGCCCTCTCTTGCACAATTGACTTTTTGCCTGCTTTGGAATGCTCTCTGCCTTTCACACTCCAGTGGCTTGGAACCCACTAACCTTTATGTGTGTATGCTTTACCGAACATGTTTCAGACTCTTCTCTCTCACTCTTTTCAAGCTTACTTTATCTCAGGTCATTTAACGCCCCACCCCCACTGCTTGACAGCTCTAGGCCAGTGTTCAGTGTCCTTTAGTACATGATCTTGTTTCTTTCTTTAGAGTCTTATTTTAGTTTGGCTTGTGTATCTCTCCATGATATTGGCAAAAAACTGGTCCTCATTTGTATTCATGATCACAAGACCCATGCCAACATCTGCTTTCTGGTCAATCTCATCACCTAGCACAGTGCCTGGAATAAGGTGTCTCTGGAAAAGTACAAGCTAAATGTCAAAAAAAAGCCTTTTATTTATTTTATTTTGCAGCCAAGCATGCCATTAACATGGTCATGATTATTATAAGTTTTGAAAGCATACTGTCGCTACTTTAGGAAGCATTCTAGATGAGGACATTTTGTCATATATATTCAACAAAAAAATATCATGCTGTCTTCATGCAGTCTACATTGCTCTTTCATTGTAAAACTGAAGATAACTTGAAATTTACCTGGCATAAATCCCTTAACTCACTCACAAGACAGAAAATATAAGCTAGTACTATTAAGTGATTCTTCTAATTGCTAAGCATCTTAATGGCAGAGTAGAAATAACTGCTGATGTCTCATGATCTCTGATATAATGTCCAAAGAAACACTACTTCCAAATTCAATGCTTCTTTTTAATTAGAGTTGAGAAACATTAACTTCACCTATGTGAAATTACAGCTCAAAAGGAAAAGATAGATAGATGGGTGGGTATATATGAAGTAGGTATGACTCTAAGACAAGCTTGAACAGACAACATAATAACAGTGATTTCATCCCAAATATTGTTATGGGGCTTAAAATTTAATGGGCAGAAAAGAGGACTGGGAAACTGAAGTAAATACTTTCTGTGGGCAAAGTCATCAAAGTTGTAACTTTTATCTACAGGTAATGATTACTTAGGAGTCATAGGGTTGGTTTCAGCTCCTTTTCATTTTCTTACCAGCAGTTTGCCTTTCAACAGGTCTCAAAGAGATTGTATGCTATGGGCTGCTATGAGATATCATTGGGAGACACAATTGGAGTGGGCACTCCAGGCAGCATGAAGATGATGTTGGAAAGTGTCATGAAAGAAATCCCTCCAGGAGCTCTCGCTGTTCATTGCCATGACACATATGGACAAGCCCTTGCAAACATCCTAACAGCTCTTCAGGTATGTGCAGTCCCAATGTGCTATGCTGTAGTTTTTTATGATACAAGTATGTTGAAAGTTTTAGTGAAACAAATTTATTAAATGCAAATGTAATGCTTAAATAATGTGTATTATGTAGTTTATGTTGAGATTCTATGAAAATGATGTTTTAACATAGCTACATGTGTGAAATATTTGTAAATGCTCTATAACTTTTTAGGAAAATGAAGGTCTTAGTACTATTTGTATGATTTGGTAAAGTTGGTGGTCTTTAATTTTGAAGTAGCAATTCTATTAGATGTATAGATTCTAATTTAAATTCCTATGTAACTCAACTATAAAATTTAATACAGTTGAATATTATGATATATTGAGAAGACACAAAAACTGTAGCATGTGCTGCTGTAGTCATGAAACGAGTGAACTTTTGTTAATTTGGTTGCACTATGATGAATATATGTGGAGTAGGAAAAGAGAAATTTTACTAAAGCATCTTTCTAAAGTTTGTAGCCTCACATGTGTGCATACATGTGTACTTAGGAATTGTAAAGCCTTATGTGTGCCAGGCAAACACTCCAACACTGAGCCCACAGTCTCACTTTCAATAAAACTCTTGATTATTTTAATCAAACAGATTCCTTTATATGGCTTGAGAAATAAAATCTAAAAAGTTAGAGTATTAAGAAATACTAAGGTATATGCTATTATAAGTATAAATTATATAAAGAGTAAATTTAAATGATTTTATTTTAAAATTTTCATTTTATGAAAAAATAAGATTTATTTGATATCCATACCACTAAAATTTCACCATTAAAGAAATAATATTACAGTTCTTTGCTAAGGCTGAAAATCAGTTTGTAAAGTTTAATGTTACTGTTCCAAACTATGTAGTTATTTGTAGACAATTAGAATTGTGGGAAGGGCTTTTTGGCTTGTTTGTATATGTGAGAAGAAATGAAGAAGAAATATCTCATGATATTTTAGGGTGTGGGAACTTTAATTTTTTCCTTCCCAGGTAGTCTTGATTCAATGACAATAGAGAAATGTGCCTGACTTCAGGGTGCTAAATCCAACTTCGCCTTTTGTCTTATTGGGTGTTCCTGAGCACATGCCTAAGGTTTTCCCTCAACTTCAATATTTAATCTTTATACAATTCTATATTTTCTCATTATGAATAGTAACTTATTTATAAAGTATGGTCATTATTTTATATATGGTACTTTAGTTATTGGGGATCAAAGCTTGTTGTGTAGACTCAGAGTATAGACAAAAAGTTGTTGGTCTCCACCCATTAATACTGCTTGTTTTAATTTATAAATATTTTTTCATTTAAATTAGAAACACTTTTGTCTTACATGTCAATCCCATTTCCTTCCTCCCCTCCTTCCATACCCCTCCACTGACATTCCCATCCTATCCCCTTTCTGCTCCCCAGAGAGGGTGAGGCCTTCTACCTGGGAATCTTCAAAGTCTGTCACATCATTTGGAGCAGGGCCTAGGCCCTTCCCCATGTGTCTAGGCTGAGAGAGTATCCCTCTATGTGGAATGGACTCCCAAAATCCATTTGTACACTGGTGATAAATACTGATCCATTACCAGAGGCCCCATATACGTCCCAGTCCTTCTATCAGACATCCATGTTCAGGGAGTCTAGGTCAGTTCTATGCTGGTTTTCCAGCTATCAGACTGGGGTCCGTGAGCAATTCTTTGTCCAGGTCAGCTGTTTCTGTGGGTTCCTTCAGCCTGGTCTTGACCCTTTTGCTCTTCACTCCTCCCTCTCTGCAACTGGATTCCAGGAGTTCGGCTCAGTGGTTAGCTGTGGGTGTTTGCTTCTACTTCCATCAGCTACTGGATGATGGCTCTAGGATGGCATATAAGGTAGTCATCATCAATCTCATTATCAGAGAAGGGCATTTAAGTTAGCCTCTCCACTATTGCTTAGATTGTTAGTTGGGGTCATCCTTGTAGATATCTAGATGTATTGTGATTTTAATTGTTTATAAAAGCGTATTTACAAAATTATAGTAATATTCTGCATAATATTTTATTTTATAATTATATTTAAATATATTTAAAATATTTAGGTAGAAAATAAATTACACATACACTAGTGATCTCATAAGTACTGAAAAGCTACTGTCTCCAAGGGATCTGGTAGTCATTGTGATGTCTTAATGTAATTCATTAGCCATGTACTATGATGCTGCTATTAACAAACACGTGTTGCTAATATATGAAAATACACCACCAAAGTCAAATCTAGTATTTATAACTATATTGTATAGTTGTATATGTGACTGTATAAATATAGCATTTACAACTAGTATAGACAACTATTATAAGCAAATATTTTTGGTTTATGTATTTTTGTTTCTTCCCTTCTTTGATTTGGTGTGTATTTGATGTTGACCATCAAACTGGGGGCTTCCTCCTATATGCTAGGCTAATCTTCTAATATTGAGCAGTAAGCCCAACCTACTGTTATTTTACTTTTACTTCTGTTTTTTTTTTTTAAAGAAAATATACCTATAATCAGTGCAACATTATGCTTTCCATAACCTCATATAGTTCATTTTACTGAATCAAGAAGCCAGGCAGAGTGATCCACTCTGGGTTTATTTAAGTATATTTTATGATGCACAGTGATAGAACTTACATTGCATCTCTCAGAATGTCATAATACTTGTTAAAATCAGTCTACAGAATAAGACGAAATAATTCCCTGTAAGGAATGTGTGTGTTTCAAGAACATTAAAAAAAAATACACTGATTCAAATAGCTTGGAAAGATGGGGTAAAAGGTGAATAGATTGAGATTTAGAAAACTTGATCAGTTGAGTGGAATACTTCCCATTCATAGTTAAGTCCCAAAATGTTGGGGAACATTGGAATCCTATACTGGAAATACAGGCGACCACTATTCATGTTTGGATCCAATCAAGTGGGGAACATGAAAAAAATATTTTTATGTGGGCAGGAGTCCTCGAATGAACACAAAGAATAAACAACAATGTCACAATTCTTCGCATACAAGAGAGAAATCATGTTTATTTTTCAAGATATTGACTAAAAATGGAAAATAGATTGAAAACCTCTCTTTGTGCATCGTAAAATTTCATAGTCCTCGTGAATTTAGAGTTTGGCTTTAGATTAAATTTGAAAGACATACCAGATAAATTACTTTCACATAGTTGTGGGTCAGTGGGACCCTTCATTTTCAATCACATGTCTATGCTGAAGGAATGATATTTCTTTTTAAGGTAAGCTCTTGGCAAACTCTCTCTCTCTCTCTCTCTCTCTCTCTCTCTCTCTCTCTCTCTGTGTGTGTGTGTGTGAACAGGTGGATCTTATACTCTTCAACAGCTCTTTTTGTAGTTAGTAAAAGCTCTAAGAACCTGTGGTTATATATTCTGTTGTATCCTTCCTCATATGTACCAGCTCTATGTAAATATGGGAGGCAAAAAAGCAGGAGGGAGGCAAGATGGCCTGGGAAAGGAGTGGTATTCTTCCAACTCCATAGTATCCATGAGCATCATTTCAGTGTAAACACATGGATAAAAAGTGTCACAGCAACTTGTATATTGGGAAACATAAAGTGAATAAATAAACAATTGATAAAATAGTCAAAAGCAGGGGTGAGCAAAAGAAACTAATGTTTCGAAATTATCGAAGTTTCTATTTTATGTGTCATTTTTGGTTGCATATAGCTTAATAAGTTATTTGTAACTGAAGGAAGACATACACTCCCACTTTCTGGAACCTATACAAAATTCAGACAATCTTTAATTCTTTTATAATTTTAAACTCATTGAACAAATATGGGTGTGGCATTGGGATGTCACTGTACACAGAAGTGGGTGCTCCTCTTTAAGAGTCCTGAATAACTAAAAACCCACAAGAGACCATTTTTAACCCCAACTTTTAACAGAAATGGCAGTAACAACAATAAAACAAGCAGGTTTAAATTTAGATGATAATGAGAACTAAAAATAATGGGGGAAAATCTTAATGTTTCAGGGTAGAGGAAATGAGAGAATCCAGCTTCATTAGGAACACAGCTAACCTTGGCTTCATGAAGCAATGGCCATAGCTCATTTTAATGGAATCTTTGAAGTGGTTTCTAGTAAAATTTGTGGTGGATGTGAAGTGGATATCATTTGCTTTAATTCAGGGTTGGAGAGACAGTTTGCAGTGTTTCAAACTAGAAGTTACTATTAAGGCAAGGGGACATGTAATAAGTAGAAACTTGGCTATAGTGGTAGGAAACAAATGGGAGTTATAAACAGAACGTCCCCCTCAGTCTGGAACGCACATCTAATCAACTAGTAGAGGAACCTTTCTTGGATTTTCAGGTTTTATTGTGCTTTTAATTACTTAAACATGTAACTCATAGGAGCACATGGGTATGTGGACATCAATAATTCATAATTATAACATATTTTAATATAAAGAAATTATTCTGATTATAGATGTAAGTGTGGGGTATTTATAACTGCTCAAAAGCAACAGAGCAAGAAAATGAGGTGATAAAATGTACAACAACTTAGTAATGGAAGAAACATGCATGGCCCTATATATGTGTCTCCAACTTTATATGAAAACTGAATTTTACCCTGTTTCATATTCCCCAAGTCCCTAAATAAAACACCAGTTTAACAAATTGGTTAATCTGCTTAATATAACATAATTGCTCATTTTTCTCCATTAAAATGTTTTGAGTCTTTATAATTGGGTAAAACAGGGTAAAACAAATAATATCCAATGCTACAAGTAATGGTCCACATTAATTGCTAGCACAGAGAAAAAGCAGGAACCCCAGCAATTTCTCATGAAGAAATACTACATTCTTTTTTCTTAAACTTAATAGACCTCTAGCTAGTGTGCCTTTCTTTATAATGCTTTCCACATGTTTGTTATTCTCTTTTAGAAAGACTAAATTATTAACCTAATTTTTACATCAAAAGCATTCATGGTTTTATGCAGACTCTTACTAACCATGTTAAAATGCCACCAAACTAC